ACGGGTGTTATCACTGTTGACTACGTGAAGTCAAAGGATAACATAGCGGATCCGCTAACCAAGGCATTGGATAGAGAATTGTTGGAGAAGTTGTCACGAGGAATGGGATTAAAGCCCATGAATTGAAAAGTTCTATAGTGGATACCCAACCTAGTTGGTCCTAGGTTCAAATGGGACAACTAAATTATAGAGCGAAGGATGGTCACTGTGGGGGTCCCGGACTCCTACCCACTCCTCGTTGAAACAGTGACTCCCGCACGAGGTTAGCAAAAACGTTTGCTTTAATGATTCTAAAATGTTGATCTACTCGATAACATTAGAAGAGTATGCGGGATACTCGTGAAAGAATCACCTATGTGAGAGAGAAGAGGGCCGCTTCAAAGGAGAACTGTAAAGGCTCAGTTCTTTAGAAACTCTTGCAGAACCAGGACGGTGACCCATGGCCAAAACGGGCACACCCATGAGAACGGAACAAAGTTGGAAGGTTCTTGTGTAAAGATAAGTCAATGTTTACACGACGGCAGTATAGTTCAAAGACATCGAGTCTACTAGACAGCCAGTAAATAAACGAGTCTTTACAGCGGAAGGTTCAAAGGATTAAACCTACCTCTCCGTATACAAGGATCATCCGGTGAACACAACGTGTCCTCCTATCTTCGTGTCTTTTTAAGTCTCGAAAATCAATTTTCATTCATGTGGGGGATTGTTGGAAAAATGTGTGGAAAATTGCATTAAATGGCTATTTTGGGGGCAATTTTTGAGTGGGGTCCACTTCCGATTTGGGTCGGGTCAAAGTGGTTTCGGATTGTCCTTGTTAAGGGCTACAATTCGATACGTGGTACACTCAAAACGGATAACGGGTGAATGAAATATCGATTTTCGAAGTTTGCCCGTTGAAATGGGGGTAGCAGCCGGCTGCTCTAGCAGCCCACTGCCGGCAGGATAGTCGGCAGCAGCCTGCTGCCGGCAGGACAGTCCGCAGCAGCCTGCTGCTGAGACGTCTGCTGCAGCCCACTGCTGGGACGTTACAACCCCATAAATGCCCAACGTTCCTTTGCAATAAATGGACGGTTTTTTGGACTAGAATCAATGCCAACGTGCTGGACATTGATTACCAACGTTCATATCCATTAAACCTCCATTAAACACACAACAAATCTTCCCTATAAATGGCTGCAGGTGGTTTGCAACAACACACAACACACAATACGAACTTCACGTGTTTTCTAGCTCAAATACACCTCCAGTCACTCTGAAAAATTCCTAAGTGTCCTAAGCTTTGTTCTCGTTCGTTGGAACTTTAGTTTGAGTGCTAAACTATTGTTCGAAGTCATCGTATCCTGGGAAACGATCGTTGCAACGCTCCTAGCACCCCGGGAGGCAACGAATACGTTTTAAGGACATCGTGCGTAGCACGAGCTTTGACAAATTTCTGCTCCATCTCATTTCTGTTTTCTTTTGTCATTTTATTAATTAATTTATTTTAATTAATTTTCTTTGTTTTTCGAAACACACCCAACAATGTAAAATGGGACGGATGGAGTAGCATTTATTTCATAATTAGGGGTTCACAACTTGTACTCTCTACCAATAGCAATTATAATCCCTTCTTCCTAGCTCATATAGATGATCGACCTAGCAGGCCTGTAGTGAAGTGTGTTGTAACAAACTCTTATTACTAATTAATAAGATACAATCCACTTACTAGACTTCTTACTTGTCCATTATTTGCTTGCACTATCCAAATACTCATAATCCACTAATAGTATTCCACTCGAAACCCAAAAGAAGGTGTTAAGCCTTTGAAGTTGAATGAATAAACCTCAACAATAGTAATATTATTGCTTGAGAAAACATGAAACCATTAATTTTCTCCTTTTCATTCATGTATGTATGTGGGCTATATAATATTTTTTGTTTAAAAAATATTCTAAAACTAGATACTTAGAATATCTTCACTTTTATAAACACTTTTAAAATAGAAATAATTACAAATTTATGATTAAAATAAAGATTATTTACAAAGACTAGTGACTAGAGTTGAATGAATGAATTCATTTTTTACTTTATTTTGTAGATGCTTATCAATGACAATTACTATTTGTTACTCCATACTCCGGTATAATTTTATTTTATGCAATGTGTTGAATTTAGTGCCCTCATATCTAAGGTTCAACAGAATACTTTTGGAGGGTAGTCGATTCATGATGTACATAATTAATTAGAGTAGAGACATAGGTGGTTTTTTACAATACACTAAAAAAGAACTCTAAAATCTTTATATTTTACTCCAATTTGATCCACCAATGATGTTTATGGTTACAAGCAATAAATGCTATCAAATACTCAAATGTCACCCATTTCAGCGTTAGAAAAAAAGGATGACACCCCATCCCTGAGGCCCCCAACATCGAAAAATCCCATTTCAGCGTTAGAGGATCTATGGGACACCGACATAAATCAAAACATTTGCAACAAGGCTTGCTTGGTCACAAAAGAAAATTGTTTGCCCACACAGAACCTCAACACTCAAATGAAAATATATAGGAAAAGACACCAACGATCGCATCCCATGAGAACAAGATCCCAATCTCATATTGGGTTTTAATAACCTCATGGAACTCAGTGATTTCATAGGGAGAGTTACCATTTGTACTTCTGGCCGAGCTCTGTTATGTATGTTTTATTTTCTTTATTTTCCCTTTTTGTTGCTTCAATTCACCCTTTATATATTGAATGAAAGAGTATTTATAGTTGGAACCGGTAGCTCGAGGGGGTGACGTAGCGCTCTCACATTCATCTAGTCTCTCTCTGCGAATCTCATAGATCCTTGCATTTAATGCTCTTACCCGCTTGTTCTAAGTTTCTCGCCAAAGCCATTGGCTCCTAGCCGTCCTCCACCTAATTGGAACAACGCTGCTCTGTCCCAAGTCCGATCGATCGGGTCAATATTTGTCTAGCTCATGTGGATTTGGATTGGCTTGATCAGTTGATGGGACCAACCTGCGAATACTATCTTGGATGCGATTACTGAGGCGGTCTCTTCTATTCAACTAACAGGGCAAGTATCGTTCAACACTTGGTGGCCCGACGCCCATTTCTAGGTCCCCATGGATTTTGGGATAGTTGCGATGTTGTTCCGCCTAATATCCCCCACTTCCAAGGTCTTTGAATGAGTGTAGGGATCTCAAAAAGTATAGTCGCTTGGTGAGTTGGACGGAGTCAGGGCCGGTCCTGGGGCATGGGCAAAGGGGCATGCGCCCAGGGCCCATTGCTCCCGTAGGGCCCATAAATTTTCCAATTATATATATTTACGTAAGTATTTCAAATATATATACATAATATAGAAAATTTAAAATAAAATAAAATGAAATAAAACTTAATTTTTTCATATACTTTCAATTCTTTATTCAACAACATCTACATGCTACAAAAGTCTAAAATTTTGTAGCATCCACACCAGAATTCCTTGAGAATAGACACCATCATTTCTTTAGATTCATTAAGTGTTAGCGCATAAATGTTGATCTTTCCATTTACTTAATTCTCTCATGTAATTCCTTGATTCATTGATGATATTTTGCTAAATTCTTTTGATTCTCTCATGTGAGTGAAAGATTGAATTAAAATATTCAGAATTTAGAAAGTTGCAGTTTGTTTTCATCTAGTGAAACCATGAGTTGAAATATGAAGACGTTACTCCATAAAAGATATAACTTCCACGTCTTTTTCTAATTCAGAATTCTATATTGCAAGTAATAAGTGTACTACTTAATTTTAAGTATAGTTTTTTTAATAAAAAAAATTATAAACATTCACATGTTGTCTGTAAGGCCCACATTATCTCTATTGTCTCGGACCCATAAAATGTCAGGACCGGGCCTGGACGGAGTGCGGGGGTCCAACCGGTATTATTCGTGGCAAATCCTTGAAAAAAATAAAGAAAATAATTTTTCAATCCCGGACACGAGAGCGTAGCAAATTAGCAATATAGCGGATAGCAGGTGAACCGTTATTCATCCACCTTTTATGTAAAATACATTATTATATTTATGCATACAATTGCATTACATACATGATACATGTATGATTCCAAACAATGGTAAATATCACTGAGTCTCAATCATCACGATATTTATAAATCTAAAATTACCTATAAAAAGGCATTGGTCTTGAAATCTTAAATAACATGTGAGCGACACTCTTCTTGTCTTGACTATTTCACTGCCAACTACTTACTGTTAGCTTTTGTAGGCTCAGACCGGACTTAGAGGACCAAAATAGCTGAAAGCATAAGAAGTGAAGAAGTTGGAGACGAACACAAGTAAAGGCTTAGTTGCGAATCAGTCGTTGAAGAATCAAAGAAGAAACAACATTTTTTTTGCAATGAGTTTTACATAGAAGCATTTTACAAATTGTTATTTTTTACTCCCTCCTCCGTATCTATTTAATTGACCTATTTGCTTTTTCACGTAGTTTAAAACAATTACTATAAATTATAATATGTAACGTAGGAAGTTTTTGGTATTGTAGCGATACTATTACAATATTGTAGCGGTACTGTAGGTTGTAACTACTTTTTGAGTGAGTTTATTTCCAAAAATGGAATGAGAGACAATTAATTTGATACGTTCCAAAAAGGAAAGTGAGACAACTAAATAGATACGAAATATTTTTTAAACCCTACTTTACTTTCTCTAAAACTGATAAAAACTAAAAATAGCCTAAATATCTTGTGCAGACCATTCAAATTCCAGTAGTGCCGTTATAGCATCCACCACAACTTCGATTGTGCACGCGATAGCAAATTAGCAACCATTACTTTCACAATAGCAAAACACTCCTTCGCTCCTAATTAAATGGTTTCAGTTTGGGTAAGATTTTGTCCTCTGCAAAAAAAAAAAAAAATGGGGCTACTTAATTGCTGGGTATAATATCTCTTCCTCTGAGGCCTCAGCAAACGTTTTATACAAAGTCAATAGAAATGCATCGATAGGGGTGTTTGATTTGAGGTGTGTAGCTCATATACCAACCTCCATAACAATTATGTACGGAGTAAGCAACTTTAGTATGTCATATCTATGTTTGTATTGATTAGCATCACCAATAGTCTCCGCATGAACAAATACCATTCTTGAAGTGATGAAATCTATTATTGTCTCTCACAAAGATTTCTCTACATGCAATTCTTGAGATAAACTTAATAGCACTATGACAATCCACACAAACCCTGATATTTTTTGTTATTCGTATAGGGACTCCATGAGGAATAGTAATGAGACCAAATGCAAGTGCAAGCTTTTCACTATGGTACCAAACTTCAGATTCTTTTTCTTCCTCTTCTAAATCATAAAGAGCCAAATTGGTCTCCGGGATATAACCTGCCCCTTTCATCTCTTTCCTTAGTTTAGCCAACATTGCAAAAATTTCTGGGTACTTCACATGAGTTGTGTCCTTTGCTCGGAAAACATGCACACAATTCTTAACGGTTATCCAACTGTAACCTGCACACTTTTTTATTCCTATCCCATTCATCTCCATCCTTACGGTATTAGCTTCTTCCCACCTATATGCATATAATGAAATGCAATATTAAGTGAACATAGAAACTTAACATATTTGTTAAACTACTATACATGCAGTAAGTTTGTAACTAATTGTTAGGATTTAACTCGCGCAACACAAAGAACAATTAAGAAGAACACATGAAATTTGGTAACCCAGTTCGCCACAAAGGACTACGTCTGAGGGCGCTACCAAGCCAGGAATGTTATTAATTTCAGATCAAGTGATTATAAGAGAGAGAGCTTGTAGTTATAGAGAGTTAAACCTAACCCCTAATCATAATAGGACACGCGCGCGAGACCCACATCTGTACGGCCCAAAACTGTACGACCCCCCCCCCCCCCCCCGACCCCTCGTCCAACTCCTCGTCGAGTTGGATCGACGGATAGGGCTTGGTTATACCGTCTCTAACACCTTACACTAATGACTAACTTACTAGAAAAAAAGAAGAAAAATTCAGATATGACCACTTCTTTAGATAGAATAATCACTGCTAAATATACAATTGTTCATTTGAGGATTTTTACAACTGCTTTACAAAAATGAGAAGAAATCTTGTGTAGTGAACACATGTATCTTTGCTAACAAGTCAATCCTTTACTGAGATGGAAAAAATCATACGAAGTACTTTAGAAAGGGCAGAAAGATACGTGATAGAATTACGACCCCCTAATGAAGATATTTTAACTGTTTAGCTTAGTGGTGGACTCGGGCCGGTTCGGGCCCGGTTCGGGCCTGGGCCCGTCCGGGCCTCGGGCCAGGAAAGTTGGGCCCGAGCCCGAACCGCCGGTGGGCGGTTCCGGTTCCGGTTCCGGGCCAAACCGGGCCGGGCCTAACCGGTTCTTTTTTTTTTTTGGCTCTTCTATTTAACTCCCAACCCCTCCCCCTCAACCCCAAACCACCTCAAATGGCCCAAAATACCTAATCCAACCCAAAACTTAAAAAAATTCAAAAAAAAAAAAAAAAAAACGGCCCGAACCGGGCCCGAACCGGCCGGGCCGGTTCACCAAAAACTGGGCCCGAGCCCGAACCGCCCAGCAGCCGGGCCGGGCCGAACCGAACCGGTGGACCCACCGGGCCCCGGGCCGGGCCAAACAGTAACCGGGCCGGGCCGGTTCCGGGCCAGGCTGCCCGGCCCGAGTCCACCACTAGTTTAGCTCCTTGAAAAGTACTTCATATTCCATATGCACATAAATATAGTGAAAAGGTGCAAATAGGCCCATGTACTAACCAAAAAAGGTCAAATAAGCCCTTATTTAGGAGGTTATGTCCGGCCGTCGTCATTTGGGGTGGTTCCCGGTGGAATTTTTTGATGAATTTTTTTTAGCATCTTATTCATCAAGTCTAGTTTACTCATACCAAATTTCATCTATAACTTCAATCGGGAAGGCATTCAAATGAATTCTTGAAGATAACTGCGCTTCTAACTCTGCAGTTATTTTCAAGAATTCATTTGAATGTCTTCCCGATTGAAGTTTTAGCTGAAATTTGATATGAGTAAACTAGACTTGATGAATAAGATGATCAAAAAAATTCATCAAAAAATTTCACCAGGAACCACCCCAAATGACGACGGCCGGATAGAACCTCCTAAATAAGGGCTTATTTGACCTTTTTTGGTTAATACATCGGCCTATTTGCACCTTTTCCCCATAAATATATAAGCAAGTAAATGTATACCCTCAATATTAGCTGAAACATGTACTAGAGTTGAAACACATCATTCAATATGTTTTACAATCATGAAAAATGTATTTACAATCATGTGAACGAATTGATGGAATTGACTTTTTAGGCATTCTAGAATTAGTATATGATGGTAGAACTAAGGGATTAGGTCTCCAATATTACTAAAAATTAGCAAATGGACAAAAAAGTGAACTTTTTTAAAAAAAATCCAGAAATGTGATTAAAAAAGGTTGAACAGACTACTTTGCCCTTACTAAAGCCCAGCAGACCCGCTGCAGTGACTAATATGTTACAGTGACCAATTGACCAATACATTACAATGACCTATGTCACAGTGACTATATTCCCAGTGACCGATGATACAGTTACTATATACCCCAGTTACTAATGACACAGTTACCAACACTTAGTGACCCAGCTCTAGTGACATCCCGACTACCATGACATCCGACTCCAGACCACCCCGATCTCAGTGACCAAATTGACAGTTACCAACGCTCAATGACAATCGCCTCACTAATCACCGGAGTTCTAGTAACCACCCGACTTTAGTGACCACTCGTCTTCCAGTGACCAATTGATGTCTGCCGTCTAAGAGCATTTCCGCCCAGCCCTGGCCTGCCAGTCTGCCCATGCCCCGCCCCACCAGTCCACCTGTGCCCCACCAGTCAACCCCTTCACAACCAGCCCACCCCAATCCTGCCCATATCACACTACACTAGCCGACATTGCTCCACCACCACCGGAAACCACCACCGGAACCCCGCCAGCTAACTGCCAACACTGCACTGCGACGTACACTGGCCAGTGACCACCACGGTACCCAACCAGTGCCTCCGCCGACCACCACCGCCCACCCTGATCTGACTCCCCAGCTCTCACACCCCCAGCCCCCAGCCCTCTCTGGCACCACCCTCCTCCACAGCCATGCCCCGCCAGCTCTGTCGCCTACCCCACCAGCCCATCCTTAGGCTCTAGTAACAGATCCGCCACCACTTGCACCGACCAGATACGCCGCCACTTGAACCATTCAGATCTGTGAAGCCTAGCCGCGCGCCATGCAAAGATCCAACATCGTCAATTCGTCGTTGCCTCGCTACAACCGCCACTGTCTGCCACGTAGCCACCAAATCCTAGCGCGGTCTGATTTCCATCTCAATTACCCCTCGCCATGAAATCAGCAATCGATTCGAGAAGAAGAGAAAAATGGAGAAGATGAACCTGGAGGACGGCGACAATGCTCCTAGACATCGACGACGATGGAGGTGCTCCGACAATGGAGGTGCTCTGGCGGTGGAGCAACTAATAGATGGCATAAATTCGTCGGAGATGACAGAGCTTCAAAGGAGATGGCAGATATTCGACGGAGATGGCGGAACTTCGAAGAAGATGGCAGAGCTTCAACCGTCGTCACTGATGCGATGATGGATGCGGCGGACATGGATGCTCCCAGTGCAGGTGAGGGAGACGAGCGGATTTCAGATAGGGCAAATGATTTGTCGCATATGAGAGAATTATGTGAGGGGTGTTTCTGTCCCCTCAATTATTATTGGTCTTATTTTTGTCCAAATTTAAAATGACCTTTACTTTTGTCTTTTAAGTGTGTGGTAGTATTAGTCCGGTCATTATTTCTAGAACTAAAACAAAGCAATGCTTGGAACATATAGAGTTACCTGCCAGAAGACGCAAACATATTTGAGAGGATCACATGGTTGCCAGAATCATGTGGATCAATCCGAAACAAACTATCAGCTGCAATCTTCCCTAATTCTGGTTTACCGTGCACTCTACATGCCCCTAAAAGTGCCCCCCAAACAGAAACAGTGGGTTGCATAGGCATTTCCTTTATGATCTTGTATGCCCGATCCACCATGCCTGCTCGCCCTAGCATGTCCACAACACACGCGTAGTGCTCTGCCCTGGGCTCGATGCCATATTTCCCCTTCATCGACTCGAAAAGATCCATGCCTATTTGAACTGCTCCAGCCCTACTACATGCAGTGAGAATGCAAACAAGTGTGATATAATTAGGCACCACCTCACCACTTTTTCCACTCATTTCCTGAAATAAATGCAGTGCAACATCAGCTCGCCCGTGATGTGCATAAGCGCCTATCAAAGCATTCCAGGTTATCAAGTTCCTCTTGGGCATTTCATCAAACGCTCTCTCACCATCCTCTAAGCAACCACATTTTCCATACATGTCTACAAGAGCACTCCCAACAAACACATTCCCCTCAATACAAGACTTCACAACAAGGCCGTGGATTGACTTTCCCAGATCAATTGCTGCCAACCCAGAACAAGCACTGAGCACACTTGAAACCATGAACTCAGTTGGCACAATCCTCACTTCCCTAGCTTTCAAGAAAAACTGAAGAGCTTTTTCCCCTAGATCATTCTGCTCGTATGTTGCTAATAGTGAGCACCACGAAACACCATTCCTCTCATGCATACCATTAAAAACTAGCTCAGATGACTTCACATCATGACACTTTCCATAAAAATCAATCAATCCGTTCAGAACGGAGATATCGGAATCATAACCACATCTAATCACACTTGCGTGCAACTGCATCCCAAGCTTTAAATACAAACCATCTGAGCAGGCATTTAAAAATACACAAAAAGTTATCGAGTTGGGGGGCTCTTCCCCAACACGTAAAAGCTCAATAAATTTTTCAACAGCAGCCGTAGGACTCCCTGCAAGTACGGCATTGGAAATACATGCATTCCAAGTGGCAATGTTTTTTATCGACATTTCATCAAACACCTTATCTGCAAGTTCTCTATTTCCGGTTTTGTTGTACATGTCAAGAGCACTGCATCCAACAAAAACATCTGATATCATGCTACTCTTGATTGCCAGTGCATGAAGCTGTTGGCCAACAAAACCTGAGTTGAGAAGCGCTGAGGCTTTGAACAGGCAAGGAAAAGTGAAGTCGTTAGGTTGAACGCGGTCGCGGCGCATGTCACAAAAGTGGAGAAGCGCGGACGAGAAATGACCATTTTGGACAGAGCCGGCAATGAGGGCAGTCCAAGTAACAACGGAGCGAAAACAGGTAGGAGTGAGTAAGAGGACGAGGTGGGCAGAGCTGAGACGGCCGAATTTGGAATAAAAGTTGATAAGGTGATTGGAGATGAAGGGAGGAAAATGTGATTCAAGTGTTTTGATGATCTGAGCATGGACTGCTTGACCGAGAGCAAGAGACCGAGTCAAGATGGCCGATTCAACGAGCGAGCCCAAGGCATTGGCGGAGAGGAAGGACATCTCTTCATTGTTTCCGCTATTCAAGCACGGCCAGTGGAAGATATTTCATATCAAAATATCTGTTTTTGAAAGTCAAGAAAAATGTTAGTGCAATGGAGAAGAAACTACATAACGATGAGTAAAATTTCAAATGTCCAGAAAAAGAGGCAAAGGGAATTCATTTAACATAAATGTTTTCCTTGACTACTAGAATTGTACCCCATGCACGGAATACACATTTTTCTTCTACTCTAAGTTGCTTAGTGATAATAGGGAAAAGTAGGTTGGGTGCGTTTTGAACTGGTGTTTCATTTCTTACCAAAGAAGTTCATTGTGTTTTAATTTTGTTATCACTGAAGGGGTCCGACGCCTAACCCCAATAGAAATTGCTGGAGAAAGATGATGACAGTAACTCCACTTTTCAAAAGTGTCTGAAAAAATAAAAGGAAAACAGTGGGAGGTGCGCTTCGTCAAGGCGATTTCCAGACCATCTTCCTTTTTGGATTTTTTGGCTCAATTTGGATTACTTTTAAAAAAACAATTCGTCAATATCATTTCTGTGATGAACTTTCCAACGACAAGGGTGGGTGGAAATAAAAAAGGTTTCACGCACTTTTGAAAATTAGAGTTACTGTCCAGAAAAAGAGGCAAAGGGAATTCATGTAACATAAATGTTTTCCTTGACTACTAGAATTGTACCCCATGCACGGAATACACATTTTTCTTCTACTCTAAGTTGCTTAGTGATAATAGGGAAAAGTAGGTTGGGTGCGTTTTGGACTGGTGTTTCATTTCTTAACAAAGTAGTTCATTGTGTTTTAATTTTGTTATCACTGAAGGGGTCCGACGCCTAACGCCAATAGAAATTGCTGGAGAAAGATGATGACAGTAACTCCACTTTTCAAAAGTGTCTGAAAAAATAAAAGGAAAACAGTGGGAGGTGCGCCTCGTCAAGGCGATTTCCAGACCATCTTCCTTTTTGGATTTTTTGGCTCAATTTGGATTACTTTTAAAAAAACAATTCGTCAATATCATTTCTGTGATGAACTTTGCAACGACAAGGGTGGGTGGAAATAAAAACGGACGAGGTACACCTCTCAGTATATTTCTTTTAATTTTTCACGCACTTTTGAAAATTAGAGTTAGTGTTCATCGAATTTCTCCGGCAATTAGGTATCAGACCTCTCTTGTGATAACGTAATTAAAACACGGGGCCTACTTTAATAAGAAATGAAACACAACCCCCTATAAGAAAACACACCCAACCACAATTACCTTTTATGCACTTTTCCCTAACTAATATTTTCATCGATGTGAGAGTACAGTGAAGGTATACACGTTTTCTTAAACAAACTTAAAAAGAAAAATGTCACTTAGCTTGATATGAACACTAAAAAGTGTGTCCTTTTCAATATAGTAGTGTCCATAAATTGTTCGATAGATTGTGATTCCATTGCAAATCTAATACTCGTGTCGGGTGATGATAAAATTATTTTTATCCTAATTGAGGTAGTTATTGAGAACATAATATACATCAGTACTATCACTTAATTAAAGTGTCATTTAAATAAATAAATATTGTTAACACATAAATATCATAAATATTGTTAATATAAAGAGGTAGCACACCAAATGTGATATTAAAAATTTTAGGATATGAAGTATCATGTTGATTAGATATTGAACCCTCCAATGATCCACTTTTTAAGTTTTTCCACACACAAAAACTATATTTATCCCATAAAAGATCTTCAATAATATACACATTTATTTCAACTAGATTTTGTCACTCCTGCATTACACAAGATGCAGTTTGTAAGCACTAAACTATTTCAAAGGATAAAAGGATATGTGAGTAGCGCTATGAGATTAAACTTCATAAATTTCTAGCTATGGATTCAATCATGTGTGTAATTTTTTCACTCAAGTAAGATAAGTACATCCATACAAATTTGACCCACTAACTTGGTTACATGTTGATGTTACCTTAGCTTAATTGTTTGTCAATTTTTGTTCAAAAATCCAAAGAACCAGATTGTCTACATAACATAGACGCATGCTTAATTTCATAACATATGAATTAAAAATCACAACAATAATGTATACATTTACTTGAAAACTCACACATTCTACAAATTAAAAATGGGTAGCTTTATGAAATTTCTAAAAATGTTCCATTTTGTGCAATAACAAATGCTCTACATTAAACTGCTTTACTGCTCAAATAGACTTTTCCTTGCCAACATCAAACGCTACATATAAAATGTTAGGAGTTATGGATATGATTCAGAAATGTGCAAGTCGAAATTTAACCATCAACTAATAACTTGAATATGAAATTTAAAATTACATGAATGTATGTTTTAGATCAACTCTCATTATTTTTGTTGATTCCAAGAAATGAATTAGTAAATTTTTAAGTTCATAAATTGATTTTTTCATAAATTAGTTCCTTATTGAAGGCAATTAACTTATATCAGCCTTTTCTTTTAATATCAGGCCTTCGATCCTCAATTTGTAGGTGATACACAAGCAAAAAAATATACAAACCAGAAAGAAGGAAAATTTTAAATAAGTAGCACAAACCAAAATAAGTGATATTTATGCCAACTTTAAATAAACAAAATGCAAAAGTAGAATCTAACCTCAGGGGTGAAAATCTAAATGGAAATATAGATAATGCCATATACATTTAATAAATAATTATCAAAAAAGAAAAAAATCAAAGAATTCAAACAAACTTAAGTTAAAGAAAATGCATAATTAGTAGGGAAAACTGTCAAATTAACCCCCGAAGTATATCAAAAAAGTCAATTAGGCCCTCCAACAAAAGAAACACCTAATTAAGTCCGTGAACTATAAAAAAACAATCAAATTTCAAATCCTACCGGTTGATTCCCGGTTAACCAATGACTCCGTTGACGTGGCTGTCCAGGTGTCAATTTTCGTCTTTTTCCTCTTTTTTTCCCTTTCCTTTCCCCCTCTTTCACCCTTTTCATTCTTCCCACCCACCTCCCCATTCTTCTTCCCCACCCCATCTTTCCTTCTCCCTTCCATTTCTTTCTCCCGTCTTCTTCCCTCTGCACCCACACCTTCTTCCCTGTTCTTTCTTCTTCCGGCCGCAACTTGTCGCTCATTTTCGTTCTTCTTCTTCCGATTGAAGAATGCCGGTAATAAAGGGAATGTAAAACCGCAGTACGCGAGGCGGGCTGTTTGGGCATCGGGGCTCTTCAGCCTTCTCCGGTGATGTTGTTGCTGCCGACCTTCATCTTCAGCTCAGTTCACTGGGCGGCTGCGGTGGATAAGAAATGCTCCGGCATCTTCATCTTCATCTTCATTTACCCCAGTGCCGCAAAGGCTCCCACCTATGGTGGGGTAAGGGGGGGTCGGATGTACGCAGTCTTACCCCTGTACAAAAGTACAGAGAGACTGTTTCCGGATGACCCATAGTGAAAATCGCGTCCAAAATTGCATGGACTGACTGCTGCTTCATAACAAAGAAGCGCAGACAGTTTAGTGAGCCATTTTGCTTTATTCCATCATATTCGCAAGCCAAAAAATAATGAATCTTTGGCTCCATTGCATATGATGGAAAATAAGAAATGCTCCGGCAACGTAAAAAAAAAAATTAAGGGGTACAGGAGAGTGGGGCATGCTGAACTGCTGAAGAAGAAGAAGGGAGGGGGAGGGGTGGGGCTGGCTGAAGAAGAAGAACTTGGGTTGGCTGAAGAAGGGAGGAGAGAGGTGGGGTGGGCTGAAGAAGAAGAAAACTTGAACGGGGGTGAGGTGAGCTTGGCTGAAGAAGACTAATAAAGAAGGGGGTAGTATGGGAGGGTTGGGGGCTGAAGCAGATGAAGAAGATAATGGGCTGCGGAGTTGTGGTTGCGAAGAAGAAAACAGGGGTAAAAAGAAATAAAATAAGAAGGATAAATATTAAAAACATGCCAACTGGACTGCTATATCAGCAATGTTACCAGCTAATCAAGAAGCAATCGATTAGATTAGAAAATTGATTGTTTTTATATAGTTCAAGGATTTAATTGGGTGTTTCTTTAGTTGGAGGGCCTAATTGACTTTTTTGAAATACTTCAAAGGCCCGATTTGACAGTTTTCCCTAATTAGTACTACGTATAACTTTAGGAATACTTTCAGAGGATTAAATTACGGAAGTTAATAACATTAGAAATGTTAACAAATTTGAAAACTAAATTTATAAGTGAGTTCATGTGCTCCATATTTAGAATACAAATCAAATTAGGGAACTGGCTGCTTAAGAAAGTATTTTTGCATTTGTAAATGGAAGATTCAAAATTCTCCTACCGCAATGTCAGTTTTTTGTTTTAATTTAGGTCTTGGTTACTCAATAATCTAGCAACCTTATTATTAGCACTACAAACCTAAACATCTTGAAATATAGACAAATTTTTCATCACAAATCACTTAATCGTAAGAAAATAGGAAATTAAATAGTGATGATGTTCAGCTGCATTAGAATAAACAAACTAACCTTTCAGAGAAGACATATGATGTCAACGAACACACTGACAAAGAAAAAGAAGAGCAGCAGTCTTATTTTTCAATAACTGGTAAATACATTAAAAACATAGTTAAGAATAATAAAGTAAATCAATTAGTAGTAAGAAAACAGAGATAGCGATGATGTAATTCCAGATGGGAGAAAGAGTCCTGAGGGAGCTCTGTGCCCTATCTTCGCCGATAATGAAAATATGTAGGCTTGCTGCTTTTGAGATAAGATTCTAAAATGCAAGAAGCTCTAAACAATTGAGGTTGGATTGTTACGAAGAGAAATCGAAGGAGCGGGTGAGGGACAAAGTCTGCGTAGGTTTGGTCTCTAAAGAATGATAAGAGGAAGAACTGAAGAAGATTGGCAAGGAATATGTTTTTTAATCTGACGGTTGTTCTGCGTTGTGCCTTGGGCGGGAAAGTAAACTTTCCACAAAGGAGTGCTTTTATGTAGAAGGATTCAAAAAAATGTAGAAGGATTCATTTTGGTGGGAATCATGAATGCAAAGGCTTAAAATAGTGAGACTCTAAAAACACTAGAAGTCTAGAACCAATAGTGAGAGAGCAATAACCTTTTTCTAAATCAATAATGAAAGTATTATTTGACATTCAATATGAAAATAAAATCATGTAACTTAAAGTGAACTGTTTTAATTGGAGGGTATCTCCTTTCACAAAAGATAAACAAAGAGTATATTTAATGAAAGGTTTGCCCACCTGTCATTAATTCTTTGTCGTTAAGAGTTGTATTTCCTTTCCATCATTTTCAATGGAGCCAAAGACTCACTATTTTTTGGCTTGGGAATATGATGGAATAAAGCAAAATGACTTGCTAAACTGTCTGTGCTTCTTTGTTATGAAGAAACAATCAGTCTATGCAATTTTCGATGCGTTTTTCACTATGGGTCATTCGGAAACAGTCTCTCTGTGCTTTAGTACAAGGGTAAGACTGCGGACATCCAACCCCCCTTACCCCACCGTAGGTGGGAGCCTTTGCGGCACTGGGGTAATGATGATGATGAGTTAAGAGTTGTATTTCGTGTAGTGAGGTGCGGCTCTTAAGGCTTTCTTGAATGTTTAGATGAACCTCACCAAAAGAAAATGTTCAAAAAGATAGTTGAAAAATACATTCTGTTAAGAGAGCTCAAATAGTTTAGACTAGAGCAGGCAAAAAGAAAGAACCCCAAGTAATCTGGAATGCCTTTGGAAAAATGTTTCTTTCCTTTCAACTATAAGAATTATCTTCATCACAATGCATTTTCAAAATCATTAATGAGTAATTTAGAATTAAAGGTTGCAGGGATGTGTAAAACCTTTTTTTCCACCTGATTCACTCGCTCATTCACGTCCAAGAAAATAACACATCGTGCGCAACGTAGTCAATGTGATATCTTGGACTGAACAAAATTACTAAATAAAGCAAAACATTTGACAGCTATGTACACTAATTTACTACGGAAAAACCTCAAGTATTCTGGTAATTTGGTTTAATATGATTATACAAATTGGCTTGTTTGCAACTATTGATATTGAAATACACTTTATCATATAGTCATACTGGTCCTGATGTGTGTTGGTATAAGATCAAATGTATATTGAGAACAAATACCAAGTTAGACCGGACAGTGGCTTGAGGCTAGATTACCATGTCCAAATCAATATCAATTATACTCTTATTCATGTACACAATGCATGGATATAGTTAAGTGAATGAATTATAGTATAAGAGTGTACTTTTATATATTGATTGAAAAAAGCTTCTGAAGAGTGAAATATGCACTGGGATAATTCAATATAATCCAAAGTTTGAGAGAAATATCAAATACTACGTATATCTGATTCAAATGAATCACCTGCAACGGCCCAATATGATTTAGGTCTAATCGAATTTCTGTCTTTAATTTGATGCCGCCTCTACATAGTAGAAATTTCCATGAGCAGGAAGACTTAAGCCTATATTTATTAAACTCTCCTAGACAGCTCTCAGAAGCTCGCATGTATATTAATTAGAAACAATAATTGAAAATTAGAAAGCAAACACTTTTTCTGAAAATCAGGGGAAAAAAATATTTATTGAAAATGGAACCGTATATCCAATTTCAGAAAACCTGCAATCCCAAGTATAAAATATATAATTAATCCAGTTATAAGTTAACTTATAAAAATAGACAAATTATTTTTCAATTTCTTGAAAGTATTCAGACAACAATCAACAGTGAGTCAATTTTTTTTAATTCAAACAAAAAAGGCTATCTAACACAGAGAATTATAAATGTAAAAAACACATGTAAAATCTTCTATTCAGTACAACTTTTATTTAAAAAGTTAATTTTTCAAAGTTAGTCAAACAGCATATACAACCATAAAATGCTACTACCTTCGTCCCTAAAAACTTTGGCATCTCGTAAAATTTGGACCATGATTTTGATTAGCATAACATTATAGAAGTTATAAATTTTACTTTTATGAAAGCACTTTTAACAAGGAACATTTTCATGTCATTTTTTATATTATTAAATAATTTCTAATAACAATTTATAGTTGGTCAAAGTTTTAAAGATGACAAAGTTTTTAGGGACAGAGGTAGTATCATGCAGATATACCTACTTACTATTATATTTCCTGTTCTTTTCCCCCATTAAGTCTCCTCTTGTTAACTCACTTTCAAATTTTCATAATGGTTAACAATTGCATAATCATTATAAATTAAAAATATATATATAGACTCCATTGAAAAAATCCAAAAGAATGACCAATACAGTTCACTTAAGCTTGTGATTTGTAAATATTTACATTATCACACATATAAATTCAGAAAGATATTGGAGCCTTTTATTTTATAATTAAAAATCCAGTTATAATTTAAGGTTTATTTATATCCATTGCATAGAAGTGTTAAGGCAAGACTGCCTTGGGATTAAAAACAAAAAATCAGTAGTCAATGATTCAATATTATTGCACAACATAACAGAACAATGTAACCAGATGAAAACGGTCATTTTTTGAGCTCTCAAATGCATGTAATTCAAAGATTACAGATGTGATCTTCAACATGCTTCAATTTTAGGAAATTAAATTAAATTAAAATTATCAAACCAGTTAAAAGGAAGAGTGCTAGGGTAGATGTTTTAAATCTTCACGCTATTATGAAAAAGCACAGGCCAAACCTCTTTGACGAGCAGCCAGACTTGCTTCGTAAATGTGAATTAAAAAAACTAAACACCATGCAGATGGACCTATTAAATGAATATAGAAGACACAAAACATATCAGGAATGCAGAAAATGTAAATTAAAAACACTTAATCCGCATACAATCGACAATAAAAACAAAAATCAGAAAATCAAAAAGAGGATGAAGAACGAACCTCAACACCACCTTACAGTCGTACACCATCTAAGCTTCATCCAGTTACAGCTGCGAAAAAACTAAACCAATTTAGAAGAACAAATAATATAAGCTTCGAGATAATTAAGGAAATACTCAGTAGATAGTAATGAAATGAACAACCTCAAGATAATCCAAACGGCATTCTTGAGAGTGCGTCTGGAGAGAGCTAACTAGCTAAGTCGGTGTGGATGGTGAGGAGGACTGAGAGGGAGGTCAGCAGCGATGGGGACTGGGGAGGGGAAAAGGAAAGGGGCGAGCTGGGAGGCGGACAGAAAAACTTCTGGGAGTAGAGGTTCCCCGATTCCAAACCGCATGAAACCCAACCGCCGGTTTCCGGTTTGAGATTTCGAGGAATCGGAGCAATTTCCCTCTTCTAATCCTATTTGCCTCTTGTTCCAATTTTTTATCTTGGGAATTTTTTATATTTGAAAGTTTACTAGTTTAGTCAATTTCTAAAAGTAGATTAAAATAAAAAAATCTATTTTGTAGGGAATTCTCTCTCTAGGGTTGCCGCAAGGCCAACCACTAGTTTCGATCGTCCTCTATCGGCTTAAGTCGAGGAGCGGGGCTGGATTTTCCGGCCATCATCTGTTTATTATCTGCGATTATGAGTCTGAAGGAGGGCCGACGAAGGAGGCTGGTGAAGCTTGATTGTTTCGGATCGGCAATTCGTGGAAGTCTTTGACGGTCGAGCCAAGGAGACGAAGCAGTGAGCGGGGAGAGGCTACCGACAGGCGAATTGATTAACTATCTGAGAAAAGCGAGATTGTATGGAAAACATCGTGGACCAGTATAAATAGATGGCGATCGGCGCAGAGAATAAACCGAGGTTTCCGATTGTGGGAGTTTTGTTGACAGACAGGAAGGTCAAATTCTCGGCTTTCAAAGAACTAATGGCATCATTGTGGAGGTCGGGGAAGGGAGTTTCAATTAAAGAAGTAGGTAATAAGAGGTACCTCTTTACTTTTTACCATTCTGTTGATATGAAACGTGTTCTAGATGGTGGTCCATGGCAATTTGAGCGAAATTTGCTGATTTTGAAAGAAATTAAACCGGATTACATACCACATAAAATTTGTTTAAATGAGGCTGAGTTTTGGGTGCAAGTACATAATGCTCCTTACAGTTTGGTGAATTTAGGCATTGCTAGGCGGGTTGGTAATTTTATTGAAAAATTTATCAGATATGATGATAAGCAGTATAGTGAGATGTGGGAATCTTATGAGGGTCAGAGTGTGTATGAATGTGGAAAAGCCTTTGAAAAAGGGTACAAATCTTAAGAAAGGAGGAGTGAGTCATTGGGTGGACTTTAAATATGAAAAGTTGCCCAATTTATGTTTTGTCTGCGGTTTGATAAGACATTCAGATAAATTCTTCCTTCTGACTTATGAAGAGGATCTGGTACTGGAGAAAACATTTGGGGTCCATCTTAGAGCAGGTAGCGGGGTGAAGACTAGTCCCACAGGAGAAAATAAATGGCTGGTGGACGGGTCATCCAGCTCTAGCAAGGATCGCAGGCAGGAATATGGAGGACAACAAGTCTAATGGTAGAATGGGAGGAGGTGGGAAGGAGTCTATCTCAGAAACAGCGCAGAGCACAACTAAAGGCGTGGAGATTGAAACTAACGAGGAGGCATCGGGAGAACACAAAAGAAGGCGTGTTTGGGAAACCTAGGAAGAGGACAAGCTCGTGGGGGATAATATGGCACTAGTTGGAGCAAAAAACGGGGAGGGGGCGGGCTTCGACCAGTAAGCCCGCCTAAGCTGCTTCAGTCAGGACCACGACGAAGGACATGAGAGATTGTGTTGTTCGGGATGCTGGGACAGGAGTTTTTCGTTTTTAGTTTTGTTTTAATTTTTTGTGACAATATTCTATGTTGTGTGGGTTTTCGTTTCTTTATTTTTTTCTGCTGTAAGACTGTGGATTTGGATGTGGGTGATGAAAGGAGTGATGTAACCATCTTTGGCTTAGTTGTGCTCATTAATGGATCAGCGAGTTATATTGCTTCTGTCGAGGTGATTAACTCTGAGTCTGGTTCGAGGGACGACGGTTTTCGGGAATCTTTTTGTCGGATTACCTACTATATGAATGACGTGTTATCAATTTAAGCCTATTTCTTCCAACAAAAAAAGTAGATTAAAGTAATAATAATTAATGAGATTATCCAAAAAAAGATTTTCCACAAAAGAAATTATTGTATGTGGTAAACCGGTCTTTAACGAACGTTCCAGAGAGATCCAACACAAACAAGCTACCATGTCCTTAACTAGGGTTTTATTCCGCCATTCTTGTGCGGCTTTCTTCTTCGGCAGTTCTGCAGCGCCTATATGGCGGAGATCGCGAACAAGGATAGGGCAGGCGGGCCACTATTGGATGGGGATGAGGTAGACCAGGCGCAAGGTAGTTTAGAAAAGTTTATCAAGCAGTGCGACAATTTGGAGCTCAGGACTCAGAATGACAAACTGGTGCTCGAAGAGGAGGACGCCGCGGAAGGAATGGAGCAGACGATTCTGGGGGCTCGTCCCCCTCCTGAGCGGCCGCCATGGAGTGCAAGAGAGTCTAGGATTTGGAAGAAGATGAGTGGAGTCTGATTTAGTTCTGTTTTATTTTGGTAGTGTTTTTCTCTCGAACTGCATGTTGTTTTGGGTTTGTTTTGATTTCATAGCAGAAAGATTCTAGAATTTAAGTCAGGTGATGAGAAGTCTGGTTTGCATGTCATTGGCTTAGTTAAACTCATTACAGGATCAACGAATCTTATTGCTACTATGGAGGTGATAGATTTTAAGTGTGGTTCGAGAGCAGACCGCAGACAGAAGACTTTTTGTCATTTTGTAACATACTTAAGTTCTGTTATTTTAATATAAGTCACATTCTTCCAAAAAAAATATTATGTGGTTCTTTAGAAAAAAACATTATTAGTACACAGTAGTATATTATAAGGAAGTGAGGTGTTTTTCTTTTCACTAGTCATTCATCATCATTACTTCAGTGCCTCAAAGGCTCCCACCTATGGTGGGGTAGGGGGGTCGGATATACGCAGTCTTACCCTTGTATTAAAGCACGAAGAGACTGTTTACGGATGACCCATAGTGAAAATTGCGTCGAAAATTTCACGGAATGACTCATGCTTCATAACAAAGAAGCACAGATAGTTTAGTGAGCCATTTTGCTTTATTCCATCATATTCTCAAACCAAAAAATAGTGAGTCTTTGGGGTGTTTGGTTATGTAACACTTGAGATTTAATATAAACGGATTAATAGTACTACTCATACCAACAAGGTGCATCTCCTTTTAAGGGAGCTCATTAGCCAAGAACTCCAAAGTTAAGCGTGCTTGCACGGGAGTAGTCTTGGGATGGGTGACCCCCTGGGAAGTTTCTCAGGGCGCGCACGAGTGAGGACAAAGTGCGCGTAAAAGGCTAGTGGCGGTTTGTGAGGACAGTACTATTGGTCCGGAGTAACTACCTCGGGTCCTGCTGGGCCGGGGTGTTACAAATGGTATCAGAGCAATCCCGCGACAGTGTGCTGACCCGTTGGATATCGGGCGGGCACTTAGCGGGGGAAGATTCTGGGATTTGATTGAGATTTGAGATTGGTTTATGGGCGCAACGAGGACGTTGTGTTCCTAAGTGGGGGTGATTGTAACACTTGAGATTTAATATAAACGGATTAATAGTACTACTCATACCAACAAGGTGCATCTCCTTTTAAGGGAGCTCATTAGTCAAGAACTCCAAAGTTAAGCGTGCTTGCACGGGAGTAGTCTTGGCTGGGCCGGGGTGTTACAAATGGTATCAGAACAATCCCGCGACAGTGTGCTGACCCGTTGGATATCGGGCGGGCACTTAGCGGGGGAAGATTCTGGGATTTGATTGAGATTTGAGATTGGTTTATGGGCGCAACGAGGACGTTGTGTTCCTAAGTGGGGGTGATTGTAACACTTGAGATTTAATATAAACGGATTAATAGTACTACTCATACCAACAAGGTGCATCTCCTTTTAAGGGAGCTCATTAGCCAAGAACTCCAAAGTTAAGCGTGCTTGCACGGGAGTAGTCTTGGGATGGGTGACCCCCTGGGAAGTTTCTCAGGGCGCGCACGAGTGAGGACAAAGTGCGCGTAAAAGGCTAGTGGCGGTTTGTGAGGACAGTATTATTCACTACACAAAAAATGGTTTGTAGAGGCAAGCCATAGTTGTCCCTATATATGAAGATATTGCCTCTAATTACTTTTTGAGGCAATTTATTGGGTGCCTCTAAGGTGTCCCTAATTAATCTGTCCCTAAATGATGGTTGCTTCTAAATCTAGCTTTAGAGGCAACAAAATATTTGACTCTAATGATATGCATTTAGAGGCAACCATATGATCGTGTCCCAAAATATCATTTTAGACAACCATGTCACCTTGTCTCTAAACACCATTTGAGGCAACCATGTCACCTTGTTCCAAAACATTATTTGAGGCAATCATAATATAGTCCCAAAACATTATTTGAAGCAAACCTATTATCCCGTCCTTAAACACCATTAGTGACAACCCAAAATATGATGTCTCAAAATATAATTAGAAATAATTATATTATGGTGACTCTAAATATCATTAGAGGCAACGTCATATAGCAATGCATATTCAAACACATTTTTTTATTATATGGTTTTAGATGACTACAAAAGGATGCATTCAACAACAATCATATTATATTGTCTCAATTAATTTAAACATATTGTTACATGACTACTTAAATTAAGTTACACAAACTATAATAACAAAGCAAAAACTGCATTATTATGTAGCATAAATAAATACAAAGCAAAGTTTAGTCATCCAACTATTACAAATAAGTAAATAACTAACTTCAAAAATTTATAATAAGTCAATAATATTCAATTTATTAATACATAGCTAAAGAAATGTATTGCCTACTAATCAAAAGTGAAGTCAAATATAACTACAAGCTAAGGACAAAATCATTTCAAATAATTCACTGATCTTCTCCATCCGATGACACTTCGTCACTCTCCTCGTCAACCTGGCACATAAAAAATTGTAAATAAATACTCTGTATTTCATAATAAAAAAAAACTCGAAATACTTCTTAATAAAGATTAAAGAAATTAATATGATGACACACCTCATTCGTTATTAAATCTGAGATATCATAACCCATGATGTCCAACAATTTCTCCATACAACCTTTCATATTTTTCATCTCGCCTTTGAAACGCTTCACTTCTTTGGTGAGCACTTTGTTTTTCTCATTGGCCTCATATGCTTCTTTCTTAGCCTCATTAGCTTCTTTCTTGGCTTCTTCTGCTTCTTTACGCAATTGTTCTCCTTCACTGAATGACCCATACATTGATGTAATGGAAGGACTTAC